GGCAGGTGTCCCAAATAAATTCCAAAAACCAACGTTCAAAATGGTTGAAATCCAAAGCAAATTTTTTTAACATTGTATTATAAATTTTTTATTTTTATATTTAGTTCCCCGCTAATATTTAAGTCTAGTAACTAATCTTTGATCCAATCCAATCCAGATTACTGAATCCCTTAATTTACACTATGTATTTGGGAAATTTCCCGAAATAGAAATAAACAAATTTTGAAATTTCAAAATAAGACCTTTTTATTTTCAAAATAGGAGTAACATGACAATATTTATTGTCATTTTGTACCGTTACTACCAAATAGTTGCAGTATAAGACACTCAATATGACAACATTTACCATCATTAATGACAATATTTTTCAATCATAAGAGTATTTTTTCAATCATGTCAGTATCGACTTCTATTTTGAAAGGAAAAATATAGTAATTCTATTTTGAATATCCAATTTTTTTTTGTAATAAAATTCCAAAACTTATTTATGATGTTATTACTTGGACTGTAATCCGTCCCAGACCAAACCAGAAAAGACCATCCTTGGATAATTATAAGGGAAAGTTCCTGAAATAGGACTAAAACGATTTGAAAATTCCAAAATAGGTCTGCCATGTTTTTTATTCCCAAAATAGGAGTAATTACTGCCAAGTTTGAAAAATACTGTCATGTTTGAAGTCTGGTACTGCCAAAACATGACAGTAATTAGTCCTATTTTGGGAATAAAAACATGTCAGTCCTATTTTGGAATTTTAAAACATTTTTAGTCCTATTTCAGGTAATATCCCTAATTATAAAATGTAAAGAGACCAAATATTACTAGATCAGACCAAACCAGTAAATTATGGTCCAAGTAAAAACATCCTTACTCCACAATTTCCCCATATACTTTTGTACTCCGTATTTCTTACCAATGATAATTAGGTACATGATTAAGCAAACCAAGGTTAGCAATCATAATACAGATTTGTAAGGCGAGAGATCCAAATTGTCCAAACGACTCCTTCATCAAACCGGCATAAGTCGTCGCATTCCCGGCGTACGTGAACCTCAAAAGGAAATCTGCTGATATGTCTACCAGCACCGCCACAGCCACCGTCAAAATGAACGCCGGAATCACCCCTAATACCTGTCCATTTGAACCATTTATTACAAATATATACACACAAATCAATATCTAAAATTTCTTTTTGATCCATTTAGGGATTCATGGACTAATTTAAATTGCTCTAAAAAAATAAGAACATCTATTCTTACTCTTATCTTTTCTAGTTAATCTTTTTGGAGAGTGAAACCTTAATAAGCGGAAAAAGAAGAGTCTGAACTCTGAGTGATACTATGTAGTACCTTGACGCTGGCAGGAATAGACATGATTCCGGCGCCGATGATGCTCATGCTGATATTGAAAACCGCCCGGCATATCACAACCCTTCTCTCCGCCAGAGTGTCTTTCCTCGACAGCAGGGGAGTGTCAGCCCCGACCGCCGGAGAACGGAGGAAATGGCTCTGAGCTTTGATTAATTCCTCTCCCGGGGTGTTAATTACACCTTATAAAAAAAAGTTGTAGTTCCTAATGGTTCGGTAAATTAGCAAAACCCGTAATGTATCCGTGAAGTTTCTAACAGTTCGGTACGGTCCGGTTCAAAGGATAGAACCATTTGGTACCATATCGTTTTGGAACGGCACAAAACGGTTTGGTACAATGCCAAACACGTGTCGAAACATTTGATCAAATTTTGCAATTAGTAGATATCATCACACGAGCCAATTGACGTGAAATTTTGATAAAATACAAGAAAGTGCATACTAAATACTACTACTTCCGTCCCATTTATATTGGGACGGAAGATGGTGGCATGGTTATTAAGAAAAGTGAGTTTGTGTGGTTGATATTAATTGATAAAGTAAGAATGATTTAGAGTCACACAAACTTTGCCAAATATGGTATGTGACAATTTAAGTGGGACTTCCCGAAAAGGTAAAACGGGACAATATAAATGGGACGGGGGAGTAGAAAAGATTCAAGTGGTTGACATTTTTTGTATTTAAATTCAAAAACGCTGAAATAGTGAAATAAATTTAGTAAAAATAAAATACAGCAAAATGACAATACACAATCATATAATATCATCTTTATGAAATTGACGAGAACATATAAAAAGAATATCGTTAAATTATTGAACATAATACAAATATTTAATGTTCTTTTTCTTTGTTCTAAGTTGAATATTAATTCTAATATAGTTCATAGTTGAACTGTAAGAACTGTGATTCAAACCATATCAATTAAGTTATAAAACTACACAAATATGATACAACAAAAGTCATATACACTACATTACTTTTTTTTTTAACCGGATATACACTACATTACTAGAAATTAATAGTCATTAATGTTTTTTAAAACTTTGGCACTCTTTCGTTATATACCAAATACAACACAAATTAATTATCTAAAAGGAAAAAATAATACAATAGTAATACTCCGTATTATATAACACACACTTAGCTATTTTAAGGATGCATGAATACATACGTGGGCTATCAAGTTGTTGGTCTATAAAAGATAGTTATGGGTACGAAAAAATATAAAAAAATCTCAAAGACATTATATTTGAACGGTTCGGTCCGGTATTTTTCGGTTCTCGAAATCTAGGACCGGTCCCGTACCCGTTTGAAACGGTACGGTTTCGGTTCGGGATAAAATTTTATAGAACCATTTAAATACCCGATATTCGATTCGGTACCATTACGGGCCGGTTCGGTACCGGTTCGGTGCGTTTTTATGCCCACCCCTAGTTTTTTTAATAGTCCCTCCCCGGCCTCCCGAGTCAATTGGATAATGGTACCTTAATTATTGTTATTTTAAATGAATTCCATGTAAAGAATTCTGGCCACCACATGTGATTTTTTGGTAAAAAAACAGTACTTTCACACTTTCCTTTTTGGGTGGTCCAAATTAAACTTCACACTCCCAAATTAGGAAAGATTTTCATATGAAATACCCTTTATATCCCTACCCCATTTTCCACCTTTGTTCGGCCCACCTCTGCCACTTTTATTCTCCGCTCCATTATCTCTCTCGAACCTTCCCTCTTTAATCATCTCTTTCTGTCTTCAGTCCCCCTCCACCACTTCCAACCTCGTAACCTCCATCGCCACCCCTCCTTCTCCTCACTTCCATCGCCACCCCTCCTCCTCACTTCCATCACCACCCCTTTCTTCTCCTCACTTCAATGGATCCCAAAGCATCACCTCCTGAAAACCTTAAGGCGGCCCAACTTCCCAAACCCACACACACTGCAGAGATTGGACTCTCAAATTCCGAGATAAAGTCTTGTGTAAATCCAGAAGCTGAGATTTTACCGCCACTTCAATGGCATGCAAATAGATACCACGAGTCAAATCCCTTCAGACTATTCATAATTCAATTTGGTTCTGAAAGCTTATTTGAAACAGATCCGAACTGACTTTTGCGTAAGAAATACGGATCCAACCTTGTTTCTGATTGTAACTAGGGGTGGACTCGGGGGCCCGGCCCGGCCCGGGGCCCGGTGGGTCCACCGGTTCGGTTCGGCCCGGCCCGGCTGCTGGGCGGTTCGGGCTCGGGCCCAGTTTTTGGTGAACCAGCCCGGCCGGTTCGGGCCGGTTTTTTATTTTTTTTTTTTGAATTGTTTTTAAGTTTTGTGTTGGATTAGGTATTTTGGGCCATTTGAGGTGGTTTGGGGTTGAGGGGGAGGGGTTGGGGGTTAAATAGAAGAGCCAAAAAAAAAAATTAGAACCGGTTAGGCCCGGCCCGGCCCGGCCCGGCCCGGTTTGGCCCGGAACCAGAACCGCCCACCGACGGTTCGGGCTCGGGCCCAACTTTCCTGGCCCGAGGCCCGGCCGGGCCCAGGCCCGAACCGGGCCCAGGCCCGAACCGGGCCCGAACCGGCCCGATTCCACCAATAATTGTGACGCCCCAAAATCCGGTCTAGTTGTTATTAAGTTACATATGAATATAATTTCAAATAATATCTTTAATTAATCAATATCTCGTTTAATATTGAAGTTAAAATTTTATACCACTTATTTCCAAAAAGTATTAGTAATAAAGTAACGTGAAAAGAAGTTAGAAATTATATGATTAAAATAGCTTAAAATTCAATCACTTTTTACTTTTAAATAAAATCTAAGGTATATATATATATATAGACAACTTTTCGTGTCCAGCCGGCCTGACGGGAACCGCCGTCCGGCCGAGGGCATTTCGGGCACTTCCCGATGGAATTTTTTGATGAATTTTTTTGGGCATGTTCTTCATCCAGTCTAGTTTATCCATACCAAATTTCAGCTCAAAATTCGATCGGGAAGGCATTCAAATAATTTTTTGAAGTTGACTGGGTTTTTATATGTATACTTTGACGCAGTCAACTTCAAAAAATTATTTGAATGCCTTCCCGATCGAATTTTAAGCTGCAATTTGGTATGGATAAACTAGATTTCATGAAGAACTTGCTCAAAAAATTTCATCAAAAAATTCTATCGGGAAGTGCCCGAAATGCCCTCGGCCGGACGGCGGTTCCCGTCAGGCCGGCTAGACAAGAAAAGGACTCTCTCTCTCTCTCTCTCTCTCTCTCTCTCTCTCTCTCTATATATATATATATATATATATATATATATATATATATATATATATTATCTCTTTAAATTAAAATGGAAAATACCCTATTGTGAACCTTTCTAAAATGATGAGTAAGTTAAGTTTATAGGTGAGTCATATGATGTGCTGGAACTAAATAAACAATACATTTGTTTATATGTATATATAGTAGGAGAATGAACATAGGTGCCAGACTTGGATTATAGAGTGAAGATAAAGACATTACGAACAAGATCACATAACAACGAGAAGTTAGTTTTGATTTAAAAAGGAATAAAGGCATCCATGTGAGGAAACATAATCGAAAAGGGACTCCCAGCCCAGACAATGCCCCCCACCCCCCCCCACCCCCACCCCTGCTGAGAGCCCCTGCCTTGTGTCATGGTGATCAGAGATGGGCAAAATCAGTTCAAGTGTCCCAGAAATCTGATTACAGAGCAAAATTTGGAAACAGTTCATACTTGAAATTTACCCAAAACCTCACTGGTGAAGTGCCTCTTCAAGGTGAAGTTGACATCAATCCAACTCGCACACACATAAATGCTCTCCATGCACCACCAAGATTCTTATGATTTGAGTGGATTGAACGTCCTAAAATCGTTTAAGACATTCATGCACAACTAACGTAATCGTAAACTGAGATTTACATAAATTAAAACATTCAAGAAATAGCATCATAATCATCATCATCATCAAATTTCAGTTCATGAAATCTATTCAACAAATTTGACTTGTATTTCCCAACTTCAGCGTCCTCCTCCAGGGAAGGACCACCAGATGGGATGGACTTGATTACTGATATTGCCCCCGCCAGTCGCAACCCTGCTGCAGCTTCATCTGCAAGAAGAAGGCCCTGGATAATTAATTTTCAGTGATGAATGCAGGTACATCAAAGGACCTATCTGCTGGCACATAACAATAATATACCTAGGCAGTAGGCACTAGGTGAAAATGTATAATCTATATACTTTATACTGGATTCGTAAAATCATTATACTTCGTATATGGATTGGTCATGTACGGAGTTTTTTTTTTGTCCAGCTGTCTGAACTTTTGACATAGATCCTTGGATTGAAATGCCGGTCAACAGCCCCAGCCATCCATGATCCGACAGCCCATCTAACCCCACAAACACACACATAGGGCGTGTTTGACATTTAGCGGATAGCGGATTATGTTAGCTGTTTGTCAATAGCGTATTCAGTCAGCGGGTTTGACTCGCGGAATAAGTTGACGGGTTGCCAGAAGATGTTTGGTAATTTAACTGGTTGGCCATAAGCCCATAACGATTAGTAGAAAATGTCATATTTCAAAACGCTAACCCAAACTCTCTTATTTGCAACGTTTCCATTTTAGCGGTTTCATCCAAAAACGCTAAAGTCGAACAGCTATTTACCAAACAACGTTTTTACTTAATGAAAACGCTAAAATGGGTCAAACCGCCATTTTTTGACTGAAACGTCATTTCCCAAACACCTCCATATTCCGCCTATGACCAGTGGCATAGGCGAAATAATGGGCCGGGTCAGGCTGGTACAAATATTTTTTGAATTTTTTTACACGAATTCTTTTACCATAATAATTTAAAGGGAAAAGGGGCAAATAAGGCCACGTACTAACCAAAAAAGGTCAAATAAGGCCTTATTTATGAGGTTCTGTCCGGCCTTCGCCATTTGGGATTGTTCTCGGTGGAATTTTTTGATGAATTTTTTTTTACCATCTTATTCATCAAGTCTAGTTTACTCATACCAAATTTCAGCTAACAATTCAATCGGAAAGGCATTCAAATGAATTCTTGAAGATAACTGCGCTTTTAAATGCACGGTTATCTTCAAGAATTCATTTGAATGCCTTCTCGATTGCAGTTTTAGCTGAAATTTGGTATCAGTAAACTAGACTTACTGAATTAGATGCTCAAAAAGATTCATCGAAAAATTCCACCGGAAACCACCCCAAATGGCGACGGCCGGACACAGCCTCTTAAATAAGGTCTTATTTGACCTTTTTTGGTTAGTACGTGGCCCTTATTTGCCCCTTTTCTCTAATTTAAATAAAATTAAAATTTGGGGTTGACCGAGGCCTAGCATGCCCCCTAGCTATGCCCCTGCCTGTGATATTCAGCTCTAGACCACAATCTACCACATAGGGCCCATATAGAGATTTATGGAGAACTGATAAAACAGTAATGCCAAATAACCTTTTTTTGCATTCAGGCTCTAGACCACAATCTACCACATTGAAATTCTTAAATATTTTTTATAGTTCAGATATGGAGTTCGATACAATTTCAGAGATTTATGGAGATTCATTATCTTGTATTTTAAATTATTAAGTAAAAGAAAGGCAATCGGATTACCTCCATTTTCTTATCATTTTTTTAAGCAACTGATAAGATTTTATTAGAAATAAATGAGAGCAGATTACAAAAGTTAAAGAAGGTAGAAAGCTAAAGAATAATAAAAGCTAATGAAATAAAAATGCTAATGAAAACTTCTTCTTCCGGCAAACCCACCAAAGCCTCAAGCGCCCAAAAGGACCATTTTCTTATCAATGTATGACTATAAATAATATTGATAATATTTACACTAATCCGAGTTTGTCTCTAAATACTTACTAGCACAAGTACATCAGATTCCATGAACAAAACCATTTAAGATAACTGTATTCCGATTTCCAGTAGGCATAAATTACCCTTATGACTTTATGAATAGTAAATTCAGTGATCTTATTACCAGAAGTAACCCCTCATTCAATGACCCCCCCCCCCCCCCCCCCCGAATGGTATCGTTCCCATACAATTTCATCTTGACTTTTTTTTTAATGTATAGATAATACGGCATGCACTTCAAATTCTCTAATATTTACTTTGAATTATTTTAGATCCTTTTGAGTCTAACTCTTGTCCTCAAGTTTACACCTTAGCATTTAGTCACTCCTTGGATTCATCACCTAACAAGATATCACAAGCATCTATAATGCTAAGTTGCTAACTATTATGGGCCCAGATCATCCGTCCCTTCACTACATGGTCATTAAAATTCAGCGCTGAATGTCAAGAGAGCCTCCAAGATAGGCTACTTCTTGACATATTTAAAAACGTCTTTTCGCAGCATTTCAATGACCCTTAAACAGTTAAACATAATAATCAGGCTAAGAATTTGTAAATAATCCTAGGGGAAAAAGAAAGATAAAAACAAATATAACAGGGAAAGTCGGACCTGATTTTGAGATCGCAAATAGAGCCTTCAAAGCTTCTTTCCTTGTGCGGTCATCTTTAGCAGCCTCCAACATCTTCACAAGTTCTTCAGCTCCTCCCATTTCAATAATTCTCACCCTCCTTTCATCTACATTGCCAGAAAAATACACTAAATAAATGAATAAGAGAACCATCAAATTTACAACCCAATATTTCTGAATTCTATTATATAATAAGTAAAAAACGTCTAATATATTATACGTAGTATGTACTATGTGTTGACTTTAAATTATCAAATATGTTTATAAAAACTTAAGAATCATTTATATTTTATACCTAAGAAATTAAAAAACTATTCCTCTGCAAAACACTATCAACTTTACAGGGGTAAAGATATTGAAAAAAACTCACTTCATCTATAAGAATTGGTCAAAAAACAGAGCAAAATACCATCAATGGCATAACGAGCCAATCTGGATGCTCCCATTCTTTTGAACAACGGATCCTTCACTTGTAATAGTGTCACAGACTGCTGCATCATATTGTCTCCTGAAAATGTCAAAATACATATTATCAATCAATTACCCACAAGAAAACTATAATATCTAAGAGCCTGTTTGGTAAGTGTTCTTTGGCTTAAATGGCTGAATATGTTTGGTAACATCCACTTCAGCCCGATAACAAAGTAAAAAACTACTTACTTCGCTGGTATGCAAAATAAGCAATATAAACAATTCTTTGTTAGGACAGAGCCTAATACATCTAGTTTAGATACTTCGTCACACCTAAGTATGGAAAAAACTGATAAGCTACAGCAGTTGCAGTCCCAGCAAAAATTAGCTTCAACAGCCACCCTATCTTCCTTTCAGCCTCTTCTTCTATAGATCTTTCATCTACAAAAGATAAATGTGTGATAAAAGGAAAGCACAGAAAACATGACAGATGATTGCAGTGATCAAAATCTATATCGAATCAGAAAGACAGAAACTATCTCAGTTTTCCATAAACAGTTTTTTATTAACTCTACTCAATATCAATAGCAAATATACTACCACCAAATACAATAAAAGGCGCTGTTTAGTAAACCATTTTTCTGGTTTATCCGTCTTATTAGCCATTTCTTCCCAAACAGTTCCATATTTGGTTGTGCTAGAGGAATCTACTCATAATTAGAAAATGATGCACAAAAATTTCAGCACTTTTAAAATTTGTCTGAAATAATAAGATGGATAAAAGTCTTAAAACTTCTGCCATCATTTTATAGATATCAATTCCATTTATTTATTTCAAAATATGTTTGAGATGCACTTTGAGATAATGCAGCTGCAACAGTGTCAAGTATAAACAAATTAATCTCGTTGTCCTTTCAAAAAAGTCACCCTGGCCAGAAGCCTAAATATTACTCCGTACTTCTGTCTCGAAATGATGTTCTCAATTTGAATTCCATGGTCCTCAACTTTGAACATTATTATTTACAATTATATACTTCTAAAATCTATTACTCAGTTTTTATTCAAATAACATACCTTCAAACATATTGCCTACAGGTGTTTTTATGTCATAAATTAGAATAATATTTCAATAATTATCAGTTGAAATTAACAAACTTTGTCTTTAACATTCAAACTGGGGATGTCAATGGAGGAAGCCCAAATTCCGTACATTTGGTTCTTTAACAATCATTGTCAATTACAATTTTCAATAGCGCAAAAGAAATCATGACTAAAATAATAACAGCAAAAAGAGGGCTATTAAGACGGTTGACTGATCTTAATGGTGGACCAAGTTATCAAAAAATTCAAATAAGTACAAGAGAGGAAAGCGGCATCACCTTTTCCAAAGCTAGATGTGGAAAATTTCTTGCTGGGTTGCAAACTCGGAAGTTTTGTTCTTAAAATTTGCTGAAGCAATACGATCCAATAAAATGATTTTTTTTTAAAGTTAGGTTTAGAGTAGAGTAGTAGAGACTAAACAAGAAGAAAATGATAACCAGATAGCTTACAGTACTTAGCCGGGACGCAAATGTCCGCATGATAAAGAATAGCGAGAAATCGTCGAGCTTTGAAATTTTCCTCCCAATGAAAACTCGATTTCCCTTCAATATTCAGCTCTCAACTCCAATTGAACTTCCAGGTCCCAACTCGGGAATAAACTTAAGATAGTATTGTTTCTTTCGTGTGATGGCCAAAAAAGGTTTTTTTTTGAGCAATTTATTCCGTGCAACCGGCATACCATGTGAATGGTATGGCAGGTTCTGATACGGTGTTGTTGTTATGCAATTAAAATCATTTCTCGGATCTATCGTGGTCTTTTTCTTCTCTAGCACCCTTCCCACTCAACTGACGCAGGATTTCCTTCCCCAAAATTTTATTCATCCCACACTTCCACTAACTTTTTTTCCACAAACTTTTCTTCCTTGCTTTCTCTCTTGCGTTGCTTTTCGTTTTGAAAATTGAAGCAAATTCTATTGCTTTGATGTAATAGGCTGCTATGAATCAATTCAGATTAATACTTCGTATAAACTTCTCCATTCAGATTAATCTAACATGTTTTGATTGATGAGGTTAATTGGTTTTTACGTATAAAATGGAGTCATGTACACTCTTTAATACAAATTTACATCTTAAGTTACATGGAGTTACATCTTTTTATGAACGAGTTACATATGCATGTGCATGAGTTACATCTTTTTATAAGCGAGTTACATTTGGACTTACCTCAACAACTTACATTTGTCATCAACGCGAATTACATTTATAATAATTAGACTCTTTTTTTTTATTGTTTACATTGAAATCAATGTTTTATTCCGTATACTATGTATTTAACAAGTTACATCTCATTTGGGCTTGAGTTACATTGATCAAGAACGCGAGTTACATATCTTTACACGCGAATTACATCATCCATGCTATTGGGATGAAAAAAAACTGTCAAATAGGTCCTCGAACTTTCATAAAAAAGTCAATTAAGTCCTTCTATAGGAGACTCTGTCCGGTCGTCGCGATTTGGGGTGGTTCCCGGTGGAATTTTTTGATGAAATTTTTTGAGCATCTTATTCATCAAGTCTAGTTTACTCATACCAAATTTCAGCAAAAAATTTAATCGGGAGCGCATTCAAATTAATTCGAGAACGCAAAAATGCGCAGTTATCTTCAAGAATTAATTTGAATGTGTTCCTGATTGAATTTTTAGCTGAAATTTGGTACGCGTAAACTAGACTTGGTGAATAGTGAATACGATGCTCAGAAGGACAGAACCTCCTATTGAAGGACTTAATTGAACTTTTTATGAAAGTTCGAGGACTTATTTGACAGTTTTCCCTATAAAAAACACTGTACACGCGTGCACTGTTCACGCGTGTACTGTTCACGCGTTTTTTTTAAATTGATCAAAACTACGTCGTTTTGTGGTGTGGAGCATGGTGCTCACCATGCTCCGGTTGCACGGTATACAGACTGTTTTTTTGGGGTAAATGAAAAAAGTTTTTTTTTGGAAGAAAATGAAAAAAGGTTTTAGCTCACTGTTTAATTAAAGTACTCTGTATTAAATATAGCATAAAAATAGTAAAGTAAGGGCTCGTTTACTTGGGACTTAATGAGCTGAATAGAAAGGCTGACTTAATCATATAGTTATATGCTCGTGTTTACTTAGGACTTAATTAAATGCATGACTTATTCGCTAAGTCAATTTACGACTTATTTCTTCAGCTTCAATTTAGTCGTCCTTACCATTCAGACGCGTTGAATGCCATCTCTATCCCTGACATCTTGCCACACAACAACAATCTTGGATACCAACCTCAGCTACAAACCTGCTAAAGAAGCCGACGGCCGACCTGAATCGGGTCACCTGACTACCTGAGCATCTTTCAAGCTTTCACGAAAACAACGAAGAAGAACCTCAAGCCCTAATTTCTTCATCTCAGTATTTTCTCTGATATTACATCTTTTGTTCTATTCTTTTGTCCTTATTCTCGATCTGCTTGTTGAGTTTCTAAACAATCTAGTTTCCATAAAATGGTAAAATTTCTCAAACCCAACTTAATTTGGAGATGTCATATTCTTCTCACGTTGATTTATTGTTGGGAGTTTTTATATTGTTGTTGGTATACACAGAGACTTTTTTATCTTCCAAACATTGATTGTTGATTTTGATTATTTTTTTACCATTTTCCCCAATTTGAGGCAGATTTTATCTTTAATTAATGCAAGTGATTGCAGATTTTTTGTGGCCATAGTGTTATTTTACCTCATTATGTGGAAGTAGATGGTTTTACGGTTGATGTCTTTAACCATTTTTATCTGTGTTGTTGAACCCCCTGAAACCTTACATATTGTTGGGAAAATTGGCTTCGACAATAGCTAATTATATCTGAGGAAAGAACCTGGCAACATATACTCCTAGTGTGAATATGTGTGCTTTTATTGTTGTGGTCAATGCTGAAAAAGTAGCAATAACTGGAAAGAAGACCTATTCAAAATTGTGTGCCCTGTTTTACTTGTTGATGGGCTGTAAATAGTTTCCAGCTTTTTTCAAATTGGAGATTTTATAATCTTCAATTCATATGGTTAATTTAGCTATATTAGTTGGATGTTGAGAATTATTTAACTTTGATTAGTTATTGATGTTGTAATTTTAGAATATTTTTATGACAATTTGATTTAATATGAATATGTGTGTTTAAAATTATCATTCAGAACAAGGAAAGTAAACAGACAATATATATTCAGCTGTCGTTCTAGAGAGGAGGGGTTATTAGTCATTTGACATGATTCAGACTTCTCATTCAGCTCACTTAGTAAACAGTTTGTTATCTCAGTGTCACTTAATCCTGACAGACATCTTAATGCAGACAGACGTCTTAATCCATTCAGGACTTAAATAAAAAAAAAAGTAAACAACCTCTAAGAGTGGTTTGTAAACAGCGGTCGTCTCCTAGGTTTATCCAGTGTGTTTTTTCCAGTGGTGGTTTGTTCCACGGTGGCCGGCTTTTCTTCTCGTTCCAATGAGCCTTGTTAGTTGGAATTGTCGAGGTTTGTCGAATGGCATCACCATACAAGGAGTGACGGACATAGTTCAAGCTCATCGCCCCGATATATGTTTCTTGAGACAAAAACTAAGTGTTCGCGTGCGAAAACTATTTCGGGGAATCTGGGGTTCGGTCCGTTCGATGGTGTCGACTGTGAAGGTCTCGGTGGGGGGCTGGCGCTCGGCTGGAGAGACGGTGTTGAAGTGACGGTTCGGGCGACATGCCTGAATTATATGGACTGCATGGTTAGCTTGGAGGCAGGAGCTCCGCTTTGGCGGCTGACGTGTTATTATGCCTATCCGGACACGGTTCGAAGGAGAGAGGCGTGGAATATGCTCTGCAATTTGGCGTAGGATAATACTCTGCCTTGGATGATTATAGGAGACTTTAATGATATTTTATATGAATCCGAAAAGAGGGGTAATATTCCTCACCAAGAATGGAGATTAAGGGGTTTCAGAGAGGCGATTATCAGTAGCGGGTTGCGAGATTTCCCCTTCCAAGGATATCAATGGACCTGGGAGAGGGGAAAAGGGAAGACTTACTGGGTGGAGGAAAAGTTAGGCCGTATCCTGGTTAATGATGATTGGTGGAACAGTTTTATGGACGCTCAGGCGACATCAGTAGAGGCACCGGCTAGCGACCATATGGCCTTAACGGTCAATGTTAAACCGACGGTGCATGGCAGAAAACCGAAGGTCTTTCAGTTCGAAAACTTGTGGCTCCGGGAAGAAAAGTGTAGGACGGTAGTGGTCAATAGCTGGAGTGCAGGGAGGGATCTGTGTGTTAGTGAACACATTATATTCTGCGGCAAAGAATTAATGAGATGGGATAGCTGTCGACCGAAAGGATTTCGGCATCATATCCAGACATGTAAGAAGAAGTTGGTAAATTTGCGGGGACGTACCGATCCAGGAGGGATGGGGGAATTCATGCGAATCAAAGTAGTTGTTCAATCCTTAATGGAGAAGGAACATCTGTATTGGAAGCAAAGAGCTAAGGAATTTTGGTTAAAGGAGGGTGATAAAATTTTTCCACAATGCGGTTAAATAAAAAAGAAGAAGAAATAAATTGCAAGGATTATGGGGCTCGGATGGAACGTGGATTACGGAAAGGAAGAAACTGGGAGACATGGTGCAGGCATACTTCGAAAATATTTTTTAGCCAGGGGAAGCCGAGGACACTTGGGATGAGATACATGGCCTAGCTCAGGTTTCGACACACCAAAATGATAAATTGTTTGAGCCTATTAACCCGGAGGAGGTCAAGGCAACTATTTTTTATATGCATCAAGAGAAAGCGCCTGGCTCAGACGGGATGAATCCGGCTTTTTTTAGAAGTTCTGGGACGTTATTGGGACTGATGTGGTTCGCCTGTGCACATGTATTTTTTCTTCGGGGTCACTCCCAGAGGAGTTAAACATTACCAATATTGTATTGATCCCTAAATAAGATAAGCTTGGTCTATGGGAGACTAGAGACCTATTGCATTGTGTAATGTTGTTTACAAAATATTTTCTGAGGTTATTGCAAATAAGCTGAAGGTTATCTTGGGAGGTCTGGTTGGGGACAACCAGAGTGCGTTTATCCCGGGGAGGTCTATTGTGGATGATATTATAGTGGCCTTTGAAACACAACATTTTCTGAAAAGAAAGAGTACTCGTAAGGAGGGTTTTATTGCTATGAAGTTGGACATGAGCAAAGCGTATGACAGAGTTAGTTGGGGGTTTTTAAAAATGATAATGATTCAGATGGGATTTTCGGACAGGTGGGTGAATATCATCATGGCGTGTGTCGCAACGGTAAATTACTCTGTTCGGTTTGATAGGGGATACCTAGGGCCAATTCGGCCGGGAAGAGGATTGCGGCAAGAGGATCCCTTGTCACCTTATTTGCTTATCCTTGTGGCAAAAGGGTTGAGTGCTCTGCTCAGGAGGGCCAAACAGGTGGGTAGCGTGCATGGGATAGCAGTTTGTCGGGGTGCACCTAGAGCTTCTCATTTGTTATTTGCGGATGATTGCTTTTTATTTTTTAAGGCAACTGAATCAGGCTGTGTTGCAATAAAAAATATTTTATACAATTATGAACAGGCTTCGGGACAGATGGCGAACTTCAATAAGTCTTCTTTGTCCTTTAGT